AGTCCAACTAGTTTACTACTTAAACTAGTGGTTATACTATTTTTTATTGGACTGGCTTTCCACTGGTTTAGGGTCAATTCAATCTTATGTTATTTACAATATTTATCCAAAAAATAGAAACATATATTGTAAGATGCCCCCGGCCCGACGGGCCCTTATTGAACCTCATTTGGATAGTTACATGGAGTTAGTATTTGGATTTCTGGGGTTTTTTTTTTTTTTAAGGTATGAATATGATGGACTAAAATTCCAAGGAAGTATGTGCCTCACCTAGGACCAACAAAAAGGAAATTACCCAAAAGAAATTTTAGGGGGCAGGTTTTGGTATGTGCCTTACGCACCTATTCAACATTAGCCTCTTTCAAAGTTCATTTTAGGGATTTTATGACCTATTTTATTTTCCCTTCGTTTGAAAGCACTAGATTTTGTCTATCAAATTGGGAATTTAAGAACCTCGCCGATTTATTGTAGTAGCTTGACCTTCATATCTGTATTGGAAAAATATCTTATAAGTATGAAAAATAATGCGATATTGTAAACACGAATATTCACAATCGAAGTGTACAATAAGACTATTAACCTTTGGTAAGAGGATCTTGTTTTTATGCGGCCAAGCCCGCATATACAGAAATGTGGGCCTATTAATTTTTAAGGACATGTAATCTCTAACATGGAGATCATGAATATGAAAAAATACGTAAATTCTAAAAACTAAAAATAATAATTCTAGTAAGAAAACATTTGGACCATTAGATTCCATTGTTTTTAGATGGAACGCCTACTTGCATCTATTTTTAAGGTGGATACTTTGCACCTTTTGGACCGTATATGTACTCATGCGATCCAACCCGTATGAAACAATTTTTGTTGGCCCCAATCATTTTAAATCCAAACCCACTCCTGGCACCTCAAATAAAAGAAAAAAATAAAATGACAATTCACAAGGTGAAATCAAATAGCTAGGGCTATACAACTCACTCTACACAAAACCCAAAATGCTTTTCTCGAATAGGGCTAGGGCTGATAACGGGCTAGGCCAAGCCAGCCGTGGCCCTAGCCTGGCCTGGCCTCTAAAAGGTTGGCCCAAGCCTGGCTGGCCTTCACCATGTGGAAGAAACCTTGGGCCAACCGCAAGCCAAGCCTCTGGCTGAGCCAGGCCTTTTACACTTGAAGGGAAAAAGGAAAAGGAAACAAAGAGTGGCCTTGTCATGACCATCACACAAGCTCGCCCCAGCCCTACTTTCGAGCCATGGTGGCTCGGGCCATAGCCACAATTTGTGGCCGAGGCCCTGGGTTTACAATCTCTTGTCTATAGCTACTACTAAAAAGTAGTAGTTTTCTAGTAATTGATATGCAACAAAATGCAAAATATAAGCAACCATAACATTCTAATTAGAGAGTTGAAAACAATAGGCAGGCAACGTGAAGTACCATTGAATAAGGAACCTAATACTCTTTTAACGTTATAGATTACTTTTATGTTGGGAAGTAGAATTTTGGGGGGTATTTTGATCCAAAATTAGATTGTAATGCTTGTACCATACTACTCCCAAGCAATTGCGGGCTAAATATTAAAATTTTGTATCTATATAAATTATTAAGTACGAAAATATAACTATAGTTCAGATAGTGTATTACAAGATACACAATTTTTAAAGCATGAAAATCTATCTTTTTTGGAATGTTATTTATTAATTGGTTGTTAGCTTATATAAGGTTGCAACCTTAAACAATTCAATTAAGGTGCACCTCCAAATTTTATCATAATATGTATTTTTGGTGTAAAAAATTTTAGGATTATAAAAAATCTATTTTTATCTCTAATTATAAAATTTAAACTCCAAAAATGGTTCAAATGAAGTAGATATACAAACATATGAAAATCTTGAAAATAGACGGTCTAGAAAATATGTTGCAAGATGCACTATTTATGGGACTCAAAATTTTTTTTTGTAATATTCATACATCTCGATGTTGAGATAATCAATTAGAGGGTTTTTCAACATTAAAACAACATTTTCCAATAAATTATTGAGTTGCATCTTTAATTCTATATTTTAAAGCTTATTGATTTCATTAACTAAAAAAATACATTTTTTTAGCCAAAACTAAAGTCGGGGTTTTGAGGCGTTTGCGATTCCAGAATTGCGTTTTTCAAGGATGGAACAGCTTCACATTTGATCATTTATATATGGGTGCAGTTTGTATAGAGCTTAGGCTCAAAACAATCAAATTAGATCCTACTTTCAAATAGTATCGAGAAATGTGGTTTCAATACTGGAAATCTTAGTGATAGCTTTAAAATATATTTTCATTTTTATTTATAAAGTTCAAAGCGTCAAAAATAGTGTGGATCGACAGATATATGAAAACTTGAAAATCTTGAAAATTGACAGTCCAAAAATGCGTTACAAAATACACTATTTCCAAAACTTGAAATCAATTTTTTTTTCATGTCCATACATCTTGATGTCGAGATGATCAATTTGAAGATATTTGAGCATAAAAAATACTTCTTCTAGTAAAATTTTTGAGATAGCCTCAAATTTGGTTGTTTAGAACCTCGGCTCTATATAAACGTTTCCCTTTATCGTAAAGCTCATTGCCTCTTATAAACTTATTTGTTTAAGGTGAAAAGATTTGCTGCTCTAGCAGAGCATACTGTGAATTTGCTCCCTCATGATAAAATTAGTGTTAGGAAAATTTGTTGGACCCCAATGGGGAGTGTAGCCTCTAGACCTGACAACCAATATTAAAGAAAAAAATAAATAATAAATACGACTTTCTGTGCTGCAAAAAAAATCAACATCCCAAGATTAAATATTAATTGTCCAATTTTTGAAAGGCAAGATCCAGGCATATAGAAGGGAAAATATCTCCATATCTTTCATTTTTAAGTTTCATTTCGTGATAAACCAAAAGTTTCAAAAAATATCTTCTAATCCTTTGACTACTTTAAACTTATTTATTAACCTACACAAATATACTATTAAACCTATTTTTTAACCTAAACAAATGTGATAAAGATATACTATTTCTAAACCCAATCATTTATCTCTTTCACTTATATACCCAAAACATTTCTCTTTCTCTCTCTTATTACTTCTCTCTTACTCTCTCTCTCCTCCCATGTTTCTCTAAACACCTCTCTCTCTCCTCCCGATAACCTCTCATCTCCATGATGTCTTTCTCTCTCTAGAAGTTTGGAAAAATGACTTTTAGAAAATACATGTCTTTTTAGATTTGTTTGGCCTACAAAAATAGGTTTAAATTAACTCAAGGGGTTAGAAGAAACAAAATCTACAATTTTTATGCCTCAAGATATATTTTAAACCTTAGGTTTATTGTGAAATGAAACTTAAAAGTTGAACGAATGAAGATATTTTCCCTATAAAGAATTTAAAATCTATTTTTTTCTTAAATATAATAATGTGAAGTTACTTAAAACGGATCCTAAAATTTTGGATGGAAAAAATATATCTAAAGTTACTATTTTGCCGGAGGGAGTTGTTGTAAAATATACTCCCATGGGAGGATGCTATACGCGGTTTGGAGGGTCCACAAATGAATTTTTCGTCGGCATATAAAGTAAGTTTATGCTTATTTACTAAATGATTGATGATTGATATTTTAAATTCTTATGTAATTTATTTCGAAACACCTGCTTATTACTAGTTCTGTTAAGGTTAACGGAAAATATCACTCAAATTATCAAATTGTCTCACAAAAATATTAAAGTAGACACATGATCCCATTCTTCATCTTCAGGTTCTTGTTAAAATTTTTCGGATTACTTGGTTGAGAACTTAACCTGTCAAGTGCTTTTGGTAATTGCGCTTATTTAAGAGGCTCGAGCTAAGCACAATTACCAAAGCACTAGAAGTATTATTGTCAAGGAATGGGTTCAAGGCTACGTGGTCAGGGTAGTAGGGTAAAGAACGGGCCTTAAGATAATTTCATTTGGCTCAAGCTACTTAAACGAGTCAAAATATCAAAATACTCCTAATTATTTAGATCCCCCACCTCTATCTAGGAATTTTTGAATCTTTTTATTAAGTACCTTGGTAAAATGAAAGCAAAAAAGTAAACAATACATGGTTCAAATTAATAGTATTATTAATCACTATACTGGTAAGTACTACATTGGTATTTGAAATTTAGAAATTTTTCCTTTTTTTTTTATTGGAGGAGGTACCTTAATAAATTACAAAAGTTGAAAAAGTAAGAATACCATAGTGGTTAAGTAGAAGGAACCTTTCCACACACCACTTTGTATAGGAAAATCCCATATACTACCTATCCTAGCCATTTGATCTAATTAGATGAGATGGCTTCGGTTGGAAAGTCAATGCTTAAATATTATTTTATTTTTGATTTTTTTATAAATTATATTGACACTAATTTTGAAGTGTGCTTAAGTCTCATTTAAAAAAAAATATAAAAAATAATTATGATATAATAAAATGATCAAATATTCTTTATATTTTTTTGTAATACAACCAAACTACCCCTAAAGTTTCTAAGGATAATTTATTTTGTCAGAAACATTCATTATATTTTTTTAGGTGCACATCTCTTAGAGACCTCTCTCACACTCCTAAATTTCATGTTCACATGATTTGTAAAAAAAATTTAAAAATAAAAATTTAAATTATATGACCAATAATTCAAGATCAAATGATTTCTTCCAATATTATGACTAGTTATTTCTTTTCCTAGGTAAATAGTATCATTTTACCACATTAATGCAGTAGTAAGTCACCAAGTCAATATTTTTTTAAAATTCCGGTAAAATGATATATTTTCTGTAGGGTTTAGGGTTTTGAGAACTTACGCCCGCCCTTTTTTTTCCATTATAGGGAGCTCAACAGATGCTCGATTACTGCATTTCTTGGGTTTCCATTCTTGAAATTCCAAGGTCTTCAGTAGAACAGGTACAGAACACAGGAGACAATCATACCGGCCCTCTTGTTTCGTAGAAGTTATAGGTTTCTTTGGAGAAATACAGGCTATAATCAGTTGTTTCAAGAAAAACACAGGCTATAATCAGTCATGGATTGCAACAACCTGAAAAATTAAGGTTTTTACTGCACCAGCCATGAATTACAGGTTCCAGAACTTGCTTGGAGCTCCTTATAGAGGAGGAAACATAGTGTTCTCAGATACAACCCTTATATCCTCTATTGGAAACCGCATTTCTGTAACTGAAGTTTCAGAGTCTAAGTCCTCTGCTCTCCCCTTCTATTCTCCGACCAATATCTCTCGCCTTGCGTGTTCTCCTGATTCATCATTCATAATTTCCATTGATTCTTTGAACCACTGTGTTTTCGCAAACCTTCGCCTTCGAGTTCCTCTTCATCATCTCAATTTCAAGGAGGCTGTGCATGCTGTGAAATTCAGCCCGGATGGAGTTCTGATTGCCTTTGGGGTTGGTAAGCTTGTTCAGGTATGGAAATCACCTGGTTTTAAGAAGGAGTTTTCGGCTTTTCAATTGGTCAAGACCTTTGCCGGTTTTGATGGGGCTGTTAGGGCTTTAGATTGGAGTCCTGATTCGCAGTGGTTGCTCGCTGGTTCGAAAGACTTGACTGCTAGGCTCTTTTGCTTGAAGAAATTGAAGAGGCTTAAGCCGTTTGTGGGTCATCGCGATGTTATCACTGGGGTCTTTTTTCATAAAAATGGTGACCAGGTTAATGGGGTTTATACGGTTTCTAAAGATGGGGCGCTTTTTAGCTGGGATATTGAATTCGAGGTGGAAAACAATGGAGTTGAGTTCTCAAAGGCAAAAGACGAGGAATTATCAGACCCTCCATCTCCAGGAACTCCTGAAATAAAAGGGTCTTCTGATGTGCAAAAAACGAAGATAGTGGATAGGCTTTCTGATGAAGAGGGATATCTGGGGAAGAGAAACAGAGCAGGAGAATTTCAGGAAATTGAGACCCAAGAGAGCAAAATTGGTCAACAGGAAAAGCAGAATTCGTTTGATGATAATATTCGGTGTCCTTTGCATAAGGGGACATGGGTACTTAGAAAGAAGTATTTCTTTATGCAACCACATGCAAAGTTAACAGCTTGTGATTATCACGCAGGGCTTGACATAATGGTGGTTGGGTTTTCTTCTGGCGTTTTTGAGCTCTATCAGATGCCAGATATCACCCTCATTCACTCGTTTTCAATCTCTAGGGAGAAGATCACAACTGCCTCATTTAATAAGCATGGGAATTGGCTGGCTTTAGGGTGTGCAAGGCTTGGGCAGCTTCTTGTGTGGGAATGGAGGTCTGAAACCTATGTTTTCAAGCAGCAGGGGCATTACTTTGATGTGAACTGCATGGCTTATTCTCCTGATTCTCAGATTCTGGCTACTGGAGCAGATGATAAAAAAATCAAGGTGGGTGGTTTGATCTTATAATCCTGTATCGATTGCTTTATTATTCTTGAATGCAAGCATTGTTATTGAACCTTTGTTATTGAACTCAAGGTAACAAAAAATAATAATATATTTTTGTTAATATTTCCTGCCTGTGTTTCTTTATGTAATGTATGCTCTAGTGGTTTGTTTTCAATAGAGGTTTCTTCTTAACTATCAAAAAGGAAATAATCCTTACTAATTATCAAAAAGAAAAATGGGTGTTTCCTTACTTATCAAAAAAAAAGAAAAAGAAAAAAAAGAAGAAGAGAGTTTCTTCATAATTATTTGTTTTCTGGCTTGTGGCAGGATCAAGTTGATTGCTTTTTTGTCCCATCCGAGGGTCTTCTTTGTGTCTGCTTCATGTTTGAGCATTAAAGTTATTGGTTATTTCTCTTTCCCCATGTTACTGGGGTTATTTGGTTTGTGTGTAAGTTCTCTCCTAGAGCGATCTTTCACAAATTGGATGATCTACCCATGGGAAAGCAGGTTCATGTCTCTAGGTATTTATGTGCTTCCCCATAAAATAAAATTAATGGAGTGCTTTTTGACAACCTGCTTTCACATGGGTGGGCCCATTTTTTCTAGGAGAGAACTTACACATGAGCCACAAGACCCCTTAAATGGTGGATTTAAATATACTCGGGATTCATACCCTAATTGGGTTGCTTCAATGCCGTGTAAATTTCATGTCTAGCAAGGACTAACATGAAGTTTTCATCTCGTGTAAAGTAGCGGTACAATGGGTTGGGTTGACCCGGATTTGGACTTGACGTGACTAAGTTTTACATGGACCGGACTCGGACCCGGACCCAATCCGGTCCTGGGTTGGGTAAGTGACTTGGACTCGACCGGGCTTGGGTCGAAGTCATTTGGACTTGGACTTGGACTAGGGTCTAGAAATCAAAAATATAAAAATAAAAAACTCAATTTATATTTCGTATATTATATAAATAAAAAACTTAATTTATATGTTGTATTATCTATTTTATATTTATTTTTATTGGGTTGGGTACTTTGGTCGATCTGGACCAGACTCGAGCCTACCCAATAGGGTCCATGCCAGACATGCACTCGGACCCCACCCGGGTCGGGTCCAAAACTTGGACCCAGATCCAGTTCCCGGTGGGTCGACCTGGACCGATCGCCACTCCTAGTGTAAAGTTGGTATAACTTCAGAGGAAATTACAGAGTCATTTCTTTGCCACCGTAAACAAACTTATTTATCCAATTTATATTAGATTTTATGTTCGGAAGGATTGAAAAGGGCAAGAGGTAGGCCCAAAAGGATGTAGTTGGAAGTAGTCCGAAAGATATAGGGGCTTATGACCTCACTGAGGATATGACCTTTAATAGAGCAGAATGGAGAGCCAGGATTCATGTAGTCTCCCCCAATTAATTGGGAAAAGGCTAAAATGATGATGATATTAGATTTTCTGTTGGATTCTTTACCTGAATTTAAAGATTTGATTGTTTTTAGTACTTTGTAGGATTTTGTGATGATGGGAATCTTGGTGATATTTTTCCTTACGTTTATTATATTATTTTTCAACAGTTGTGGAACGTTTCTTCAGGGTTTTGTTTTGTGACGTTATCTGAGAATGGGAAAGAGAATGGTCACACTAATGCAGTTACTGCTCTCCATTTTACGCCCAATAACCGTTGTCTCCTTAGTGCATCCCTTGATGGTACAGTTCGTGCTTGGGATTTAATTCGTTACAGGAATTTCAGGACATTTACCACTCCTTATGATAGGCAATTTGTGTCATTAACCTCGGATCCGAGTGGTGAAGTTATTTGTGCCGGATCCCTTGATTCATTTGAGGTATGGGGTTTTGCTACTTTTTTATCAAAGAATTGCCTTCTTTGGTGTGTTAAATCAGTCTTGTTCATAAGTTTTATTATTGTACATCTTGTGTTTCAGATATTTGTTTGGCGAATGAAGGACAGCCGCTTGCTGGATACTCTTAGTGGCCACGAGGGTCCTGTCCATGGGTTGACGTTTTCTCCCATAAATGTGAGTTCATGCAGTATTTTAAGATTGTCACTGTTATCATAGCATACTACAAAGCACAATGGGTTTTTCTTCTGTCTGCTTTCTCTTCTTCTTGTCATGCTTTTATTAATTTTATTTGATCAAGTGAAGAATATTAAGCCATCTTCGGCTAGTATCAGAGAGCAGGCGCTGCCTAAACTTCTGATTTTTGTTAGTTTTATAAACCAGGATGGCTGAAAAATCTGATGATGTTGTTCATAATATGTCAGGAATTCCTCTTTTACTTTTCAGGTATTCCTACCACACTTGGTTCAAGAATATGTTTAGTCATGAAGTAACTGTCTACATGTTCATTTCCATTTGAACCTTGACTCTTTGGTAGCCATCCTGTCCTGATGAGCATTATATTTGATGCATACACATGCGTTGCAATTCTGGATATCAGTATGTAATTATATGCTCATCCTTTTTATTCCATTACCCTGATATATTATATTTTTTGGTTTGAAATGGATGTAATGACTACTCTTATGAAGGCGAGGCTTCTTTTACAATTTACCAAAGCAGAATATGGTGTATGCTTCATTACTTGATGGGAATTATACACTTACATTGATGAAATATGGCACCAATGGCTGTGATAACCTCTGGGATGGCTACACATACATTGACTCCCTCCCTTATTTGCCAATTGATTTGCCGCTAGTTCGCTGCATTTTGTCTAAAATATACATTGGAATTGACGGGTAAGCACATATCCATTGTTACAGGGCCACTAAGCCCGGGGCAGGACAACTTTTTCAAATGGCTAGATGGTCTTGCCATATGGCTGTCAACTCTTCAGGGGTAGTTATTTTAGTTTTGGCCGCCATATGGCCCTTAGTAGACAAATTGAGTTATATTTGGAACTTGATTCTTTGGAGTGAACTGAGTCTTGCAACTATATTAAGAAAGTGCCAAAAGACGTTTTAGAAGAAACTTAAGGGAAAATAAATTCTGATAAAAAAACATGGTGGTGAAGTGATGAGGTTCAGAAGGCCATTAGAAGAATATAAATGTTATAAAACTTAGAAGAATATATAAATGCTAAGAAAGAAAACTTGGAAATGTAATAATATAAATGATCAAAACTTAGAAGAATATATAATGCTAAGAAAAACGCTAAAAAAGTAGTCAGTAAGGCTAAACTTAAGGCATATGATAAACTGGGAACAAGAAAAGGTAAAAAATATGCATTCAAATTAGCAAAAATGAGAGAGAAGAAGTGTTGGGATCTAGACCATATTAAATGCATTTAGAGCGAGGATTAAAGGGTTTTGGCGAAGGATGAAGAGGTCAACGAAAAGTGGAGAGTTTATTTTCAAAAATTATTAAATGACAAGCACAATGAGAACATAGCGGTAGAAGGAACTATTGGCATACATGGGGGGGAGGTCATAGATACATTCCTAAGATTAGGATATCAGAAGTGAAAGAAGCTTTGAAGAGGATGAAGATAGGAAAGGCTTTAGGACCAGATGGTATTCCGGTAGAGGTTTGGAGGTGCATAGAGGTGATTAACATTGACTGGATGATTAAGCTGTTCAACAAGGTGTTAAGAACAAAGAAAATGCAAGATGAATGGAGCAAAAGTACTATGGTACCTATTTTCAAGAACAAAAGAGACATGCAGAACTTTGCGAACTATTTTGAGGAATCAAACTTATGAGCCACACTATGAAGCTGTGGCAGGGAGTGATTGAGCAACGACTAAGGCATGAAATAAGTGTATTAGAAAATTAATTGGTGTTATGCTAGGGAGGTCAACAACTGAGGTTATTTTTATACTTAGGCAACTGATTGAGAAGTTTAGGGCGAAGGGAAAAGACCTGCACGTGGTTTTTATTGATGTAAAATAAACTTATGATAGAGTACCTCGAGATTTGATTTGGTGGGAGTTGAAAAAGAAAGGAGTCTTCATACACTAAATCGACTTGGTGAGAGATATGTACGAGGGAGCGCTAACTAGTGTGTACACAACTAGTGGAGAGACAAGTGAGTTTTTAGTGATAATAGGTCTACATCAGGTGTCAACAACTCAACATTGAACCCCTACCTCTTTGTCTTAGTTATTGACTTAACTAGGCACCTATAAGATGAGGTATCATGGTGTATGTTGTTCGCGGATGACGTAGTTTTGATCGGTGAGACCCAAAACAACATCAACACAAAGTTAAAATTTTGGAGGATGCTTTAGAATCTAAAGGTTATAAAATTAGCGAGACTAAGACAGAGCATATGAAATGCAAGTTTAGTAATAATAGGAATAGAGATGAGGAAGTAGTTAAGATTGACAATGAAGAAATACCAAAAAGAGCACATTTTCGATATCTTGGGTTGATAATCCAAGAAAATGGAGAGATTGAGGAAGATGTCGCATATAGAATTAGAGTTGGTTGGGCGAAGTGGAGATGTACAACCGAAGTTTTATGTGATCGCTGCATACTAATGAAGCTGAATGACAAGTTTTATAGGACAGTTGTGATATTAGCTTTGCTTTATGGGGTGGAATGTTAGGTGGTCAAGAAAGAACATACCCATAAAATGAGTGTAGCTGAGATGAGGATGTTGAGATGGATGAGTGGCAAGACAAGAAGGGATAAAATTCAAAATGAATACATTCACAATAAGTTGGGAAAAGGCTCTGATGATGAATTGAGTCCTGCAAATCACAAGAGAAGTTTGACTGTCAAAGTCTCTCAACATCGCTTCAGTTCCAAGTGACCCTCTAAGTCTCAGATTAGCCTTGTGGCTCCAAATGAACCTCATTGTTATGTAGCTAAGAGGAGGTGGCTTCCGCTTAGAACAATTCCTTCTTTACGGCATAAATGTTGACCAATCCTTGGATGATTCATCACTAACTCCTCTTTGATGACTATACTAGGAGGGAGGATTGCAAGTGAACATTCTCAAAAAAAAAAAAAGGATAGTAGGAGGAATGAGTCAATTTGGTAAACAACACTAGGCTGGAGGTTGGGTATGGGCATGTGCACACAGGATCTGGGGGGTGGTGAAGACGTCTAGGATAGAAAATGGTTGGAAGAGATCGTCTCCTGCCCTGCTGCAAGTGTCCCACTTTGGAAATGCAGGATTGTTTGGGTCATAAGGTGTTAGCATAGTCAAATGGTAAGCTCATATGGTTTAACCATAGTGATTGTATGTATATTTTCCATTCTGAATCATGAGATGGAGAGGGATGCTTAAAAATCAGGGGGAAAATGCATACTGTCCCAGTCATGTGTACATAATTGTATTTGTAAATGGGTAATTCAGTAAAGACATCTCTATAACAAAAGCCTTATAAAACACTCTACTGCCTTCAGCTAAAAATAGCAGTTAATCACTTTAATAGATGTGAAAGTTCACTTTCAAAATACATCTGTAAAAATGGAAAAAAGCTGCTGCAGATATATGCATCCAATAACTTGATCTTTACTTTCTCTACCCATAAAAAGAAAGACATAATTTGTTACTCTCTAGTGAATCTCCTGATGGTAGGACCCTTCTCTGCTCTTGCGTCTTATGTGAGCATTTGGAGAAAGGCCTCATGGAAGGTAATAGTGGAGGGCTTCAAGCGGTGCTTGCTCCTTGGTATGTAGTCTGCCTGTAGCTTCATCATCATCATCAAAGCTTTTTCCTAATTAATTGGGGTCGGCTACACGAATTCTGGTCTGCCATTCTACTCCATTAAGGGCCATACCTTCAGTGATGCGTTTGACAAAGTTTTATGTTGGCTGCCTGCCTAACACAATCTAACTCCTTTACCTGGGCATGGGAAGGGTTAAGAGAAAGTTTAAGGTCTTCACCCTTTTGGCTGTAGCATCATTTTAGTAATATTTGTTATATGCAACTTTTATCTGTAGTAGTAGTTAACTCTGTAAGCAAAAATTTTCAACTGTGTTTTCAGCCGCAAGGAAAATATGAACTGAGAGCATCATTTAGTTCATTTTAAGAGCACAAGTGGTATTCCTGTTCTTTTTTGGAATCTTTTGGGTTTAAGCTAATTTAGTAATTTTTCCTTTCCAAAGTGCTAGTTTTCCTGTGTGACTGGAAAAATATATTCCATGTGTCGGATGGACAAATATGATTCGGTAGTGTTTTAATGGCTTACTCTTAGTTTGAGTTCCGAGTCTGTACTAATTACAATGAATGGAAATGATTAATGATGTCGTTTATGCTATTGAACCAAAGCTTGATTCATATTTATTTTGAAACTTGTAGGCAGTTCTAGCTTCCTCTTCGTGGGACAAAACTGTTCGTCTGTGGGATGTTTTTGATGGAAAAGGTGCTGTAGAGACGTTCCCACATACACATGATGTTCTTACTGTGGTCTATCGCCCTGATGGAAAACAGCTAGCATGCAGCACATTAGATGGTCAGATACACTTTTGGGATCCTGTTGAAGGCTTATTGATGTATACTATTGAGGGACGCAGGGACATTGCTGGTGGACGACTCATGAGTGATCGAAGATCTGCAGAAAAATCGACTTCAGGGAAATGTTTTACAAGCTTATGCTACTCTGTTGATGGAAGTTACATCTTAGCTGGGGGGAATAGCAAGTATATTTGCATGTATGATGTTGCAGATCAGGTCTGTTCATTTCCATTTTTCTTCTTTTCCTTTGTGGGCATATTTAGGGATGGTTTGGATGGGTCCCAATTTGCGTTTTGCCATTTTTGGGTTGTTATCTTGAAGATTGATGCCAAGAACATTCAGAGAATTCAGAACCAGACTGAACCAGCTGTTCCAACTGCAGGACCCCAAATCTGTTCTGTTTAGTCAACAACCATATCTTGAGAAAAATCAGTTTTTTAATGAATTTTATAAAAACTTGTTGATGTGTGCTTTATGGTTTTAGTTGGTTTTCATTGGTTCAACTAGTGGAGTTAGCACTTTTCTGCTTGGGTGACCTGTCCAGTTTGATAACATTGTTGCAAATATAGTTGGAAGTTTGATTTGGATGCCCTTATAAAGCTAAAATGGTTGTTGGAGGGACATTTAAAAGAGTGGCTTTTTTGTGAGTGGTATGGGAACTGAAAATGCCATGTTCATCACATTTGCAACCATTACCTGCAGAAGCAACACATTTGGGATTCCCAAACGGCCCTTGTTATTTCTGTGTTGGATAGTTGTTCCAATGATTTTAGTGAATGTTTGATTTTGTTTTCCATTGTTTTTTAGTTGCTTCACATGCTGATTAGTTGCTTTTAAGCCTATTGTTATCCTTTAATTTTGCATTATATTTGATCTTTCATTGGTTTATTTTAGACAGAAGGTAAAGTGTAGATACTGGTTCCCTCTAATCTGTGGGCTTCTGTACACCAGGTATTATTGCGTAGATTTCAGACTTCTAGCAATCGCTCCTTGGATGGGGTTCTTGATTTTTTGAACTCTAAAAGGATGACAGATGCTGGGCCCTTGGATTTAATTGATGATGTGGATAGTGATGTAGAGGATGGCATTGATCAACAAATAAAGGGTAAGTTGGGGTATGATTTACCCGGAGCTATAGGCAACCATGGGCGACCTGTGATCCGTACAAAATGCTTGAGGATAGCTCCAACTGGAAGGTCATGGGCAGCGGCTACAACAGAGGGAGTATTAATATACTCGATGGATGATTCCTTTCTCTTTGACCCAAATGATCTCGACATAGATGTCACTCCTGAGGTATGCTTTACCATGGCTTGTTTGGGGAATCTTTTATTGGGAATGAATATGCTAACCGATTGGGAGAATTTGTTGTATTGAATTTGTGGCTTCTGGTATGTGTTAGGGCAAGATTTGGGCATAAATTGTAACCTTAAAAATAAAAATCATTTAAGGGGTCAAAACCCCTTAGGACATTATTTTTTTTTGAGTAAAGTTAACTTTATTTCATTGGCCAAAAAGACCAAAGTTACAAGAGGTGTGGCGGCCCCGAGGGGTCGCACTATACAGGTCCAATCAGGGACGAAGCAGTGTACAATACAAGGAAAAGGAGAATAGCTGCGTAGAGTAGCAGAGGGAGGTAAAGGCTTTTGGTCCCCAAAGTGGAACAGGATGGCCCCTCCTTAGCCAGCCTATTGGCGTCAAAATTGGCTTCTCTATACATGTGTTGCCAGACAATACTGAAATCTCTGGTGATGTGCAAAATCTCTTCAAAAATGTCGTCATGACGCCATGGCCAGGATGAACGATTAGAAGCCCAGATTATGATCTTGGCGTCTCCTTCCACTGTCAGATCGTGACTCCAAGAGGGGTCACACTTGCGAAGGCCCTCCAAGAGGGCAAGGGTCTCGACAATAGTAGAGTCCCCGATGCCGATAGGGCATGAAAAAGACATCAGAATACATCCTTACTAGTGCGTAGTAGCTCCCATATACCTGAGGGTCCTGGGTTACCAAGGGAACAACCATCGAAATTGAGCTTAAAAGACCCCAATTCCGGTATATATATATATATATGGAAAAAGCTCCTGTCAGTAAATGGGCTCATGGAACTATGTAAGCCCAACGACCTAGATTGAATTTGGACCGATCCAATGATCACAATTGTATTTCGTAATTGAATTTTAATTTTTTTTCTACATATCCAAATTATTTGAAATTTGGAACGTCTTTTCTTCAAGAATAGTAAAAATCTAATAAAAATATCAAAAAA